CCCCAAAACCCCAAAACCCCAAAACCCCAAAACCCCAAAACCCCGTTATTTTTTGAGGGAATTGACCGAATATAATAATTAAAAATGGAAACAAAAAAGATGAGTAAATTCAAAGTCAAACGTTCCAAAGTTGTGGATAAAGAAGACACAATTGAAAACACGTATGATAGCTCTAATGACAACACAAGTCCAAAACAGAAGAATAAAGATCCTTTGCCAGGGTCAAAGAGAAGATACAATCAAGTTCAAACCAAGGAAGACTTTGTAAAAAGTTGCAAAAAGTTAGAATTTTGTGAAGAATTCAAACCCAAAAAGATGAGCGATGTCCTAGTTGCTAAAGACCGTGTGAAAATGTTCACTGATTTTGTGAGTAATCCTAAGAGTAAGATTCTATTCCTTCTTGGACCTTCAGGGTGTGGCAAATAAATCCCTCTTAAACGCATATTGCTTGGAAAACAACATGCAACTCCTAAAATACAAGGACACCCAAGTCGACTTATTCACTGGCCCAGAAGAGAGCTACACAAATGTACCTTCCGACTTCATCTCCTTGACCACATTCCTAGTCGAAAACATGTATTCCCAAGTAAAAAGGACCAAAATCTCAAGATTTTGTTCCAAGTTCAACAAATCAATGACTTTTAAAAGACCAAGGAAGTCCAAATCTACAAAGAAGCTCAGGAACATTCTCTTGATCGATTATCTTCCCCAATGCCTCAAGTTCTACCGACCAGAAAGAGCATCCTATCTTCGTGAACTGAATGAAATCTTGATTAAATTCATTCAAAATGACGAGACAAATATAGTCGTCTTTACTTTCAGTGATGGGAAGGAGGCTAATCACAAGTTTCTAAGCAAGATCTTTGGTGATGAAATGCTCCTAAATTCATCTAGTAATAAGCCCTCCTCAAATGATTTTCAAGGCAGAAGCAACCAAGGACTTCAAGAAAGCAAGAGAGAAGTGGCTCATCAGCAATCTGTAATCAACAATCAGGCTACATGAATAATCACTCTGAACCAAATAACTGAAAGGAATATCAAATAAGGCTATGACAAATGTAATCGAAAACAAAGGAATAGAAATTAGTGATGAAAAATTACGTGAAGTCATTGAGCAATCCAAGCGTGACCTAACCAAAGCTCTGTCAAACCTTCAATTCTTAGCAGCAGGAAAGATGGGAAGAGAACTTGGTACAAAATCCAAAAGGAAGAATAAGAGAGTCAAAAGGAATCTCAATGTTGAAGACTTTTTCACTCAAGAAGTGCAGAACCCTAAAAGTCAAACTCAAGAGAAGAATGATTTGAAACTTAACAAGGATTATGGACTCTCAATCTTTCATGCTTTAGGAAAGTTCCTGTACAACAAAAGAATTGATCCAAGGACTAAGAAGGAAAGAATAATGACTTCTAAAGAACTGCAGGCATCTCCAAAACCAAAATCGTATATAAACCATGAGGAGGTACTTAACAAAGTTCAGACTGAAAATCACATTTTCTCTCTATATCTACAAGAGAATATGTATGAGATGTTTAATGATATTGAGGACTTAAGCAAGGTATTACAGGTTTACAGTCAGAATGATATGCTCACAACTGTTCATGATTACTCCTTTGCCAATACCAAATATTATGACGAAGTGCAGGACCAATGCAGTCTCTCAGAATCCTTAGCTGTCACAGAGTATAATATTTATGGAGGAGATAGCACAGATCGGAAGAAAATGAAAAAGTTTGTAAAACCGCAATGGTTTGATTTGAAAAGAAAAATCCGGGAAAACAAAACAGTGATTTTTGATACCACCCGTGTAGACCAGATATGTCAAAAATAAGATCATAAGTGAGGGACTTCTGACAGCTTCGTGCTCTAAAATAGCTAGTGAATACCTTCCATACTTGAAGGCGATGAGAATTTTGCATAAATATGAAGTCCTCCGGCCTCTGCTTGACATTAAGGGTATTGAAAATACCTCCCACGGCAAAGAACAAATTGGAAGTGAGGAGCATTTTAATGACAGAAAGGAACAAGCTTTTCGAGAGAAGGAAGAAGAGAAAAAGCATGATAATAAAAGACAGCAGCAAAGAAAAGACAACAAAGATGGTCTCGCAACTATGGGTAGGAAAGAGCAGCTTGCTCAATACCAACAAGAAGAGATTGAAGATTCTGAAGATGAGATAAATGATCAAGATTTAATAGATGTCTTAGAAGACTTAGATTCTGACTCAGAGTAAGTATTCTTCTTAATACCAATAGAGAGTTCTCAATTAAGGAGGAAGACATCCCAGATAGTGATTAATATAACCAGTATATTTATAAAATACATCAACTTTCACATTATTAAAGGGGTTTTGGGGTTTTGGGGTTTTGGGGTTTTGGGG